AAGTTCCCCCCCCCCCCCCCCCCCCCCCCATTTAGCGGTACGATAATCCTTGATTATTCTCACGTGCACTCGCACGAGACCTCAAAAATTCCTCACGAGACCTCATGTTATTCTAATGAAGGTCATACTACAGCAAATAACCTTTGTGAGATCTCGAGTAGGACCTCATGAAAACAGATGACACGAGACCACTCGAGATCTCGTGAGGTCACACGACAAAGTCCCGAGATTCTCGTGAGGATTTTTCAGCAGGATCTTTTGGGTCGACATCCGAGATGGTTCCACCGGTCGTCCGCGTCCGAGTCACGTTTCCGCCAGATTTCCTTCTTTTATCCTTCGGGTACGATTCGGGATCGCTGGAACCCGACGCAGGATCGGCCGTCCGTGTCGGACGCGGAACATCCGAGATCCGGCTTAGATCCATCCGGATCCGATTCCGGGTGCGTATCGCCGCGAGGACGGAATCGATCGCTCGCGATCGATGAGAAGCGGTACGTCGAAGCAGTGGTTCCCAGACTTGGAATCGCGACCCACTTGCCGACGTCCAGAACGAGGTGCTTTCAAAGTAATCACGACGCGAAGAAAACTCCGACCTCATCTGCGGTGCACGTTTCAACCCGAGCGGATCCAGATATATATATTTTTTCTAATGGGGAATCTCTCGCGACCCGTCTCGAAGTCTCTTGCGACCTACGGTTTGGGTACCGCCGCATCGCAGAACGAGAACGAGGGGAAGGAAGAATCGGATTCGGAATCGGACGGAGGGAACCCCTCCGTCTGCTTCCATCGCGTGTCTCACGATACGACGAAAAGGAAAATGAGAATTAGTGGATTCCGTGCCTCGGTCCCATCTCGTCTCGCCGAAGGAGAAAGCTCGTTCTCCCGCGTTCGATCCACGTTCCGTCTCCCTCTCTTCCGCCCGAATCTTTCGCTTTTAGTCCTCGTCTCCCGACCGAAACGTCCTCTACCTTTACCTTCGTTTTAGTCGGGGACGAAAACGGCCGATTTCGGTCTCGATTTTTTCCTTTCGGCGACGGTCACGGTTTCGGTCGACATCCGACGAAACGACGGAATTTCCTATCTCCGGTGATTCCATTTCCTCGGTTGTACGGTTTCGACCGTGCAAAGATTCGACTACGAGAAATAGGTGGAAAGGGGTGGGGTTAGGGGTTAACGAAGCACACCCTCTGTGGATCCCACTTGCATTCCCGGAAGCGGAGGGCACGGTGGATGTTCTCGGGACGTACTAGCATTTCGGTGTCGCTTCCCGTTCCGGCCCGAAGGATGCCTTCTGCCTTCGCGTCAGACGTTCCCCGAGTTCCTTCTCCCCGGTCTCTCACGTTGCCGACTCTCGTTTCGCATCGCAGGAGATGACGCTGCACCTGGTGGTGTTGAGCTTCGACCGTTATTCCCGGGACGAGGTGATCGGAGAGGTGTTGTATCCCCTGTCGGAAGCCGGACGAGAAGCCCTCGCCGAGACTCTCTCCGTCACCAAGGAAATCTCTCCGCGCAGTCTCAAGGTGAGCCGAATGCACTCACGCGTCCGCATTTCCGACCCGGATTTTTTTTTAAAGACTCGACCGATGATTTCGGCCCGGCCGAGGAACGTAAAGATGAGCTCTCGTTCGCTCGGATTCCATACCAGAGATACGATTTCGTCACCTCGTCGCCCGACGCTCGATGGTTTCTTAGAATCGCTTCGAGTCGCTCGTCCGTCCGAGCGAAATCGGTAAAACGGTCATTCCTCCTTTCGCTCGGAAGAGGAACCCCCGGGAAGAACCGCGTTTACGGTCGGAATCGCGTTGGGAAACGAGACGGTGATGAACTGTTTGGTGCAGATCCGGAGCCAGGGACGAGGGGAGATCCTGCTGAGTCTCTGCTACCAGCCGGCGGCTCATCGACTCACCGTCGTCATCCTCAAGGCGAGAAATCTTCCCAGGATGGACGTCACCGGACTCTCTGGTGAGGATCGCCGTCGATCTTTTTCTCCTCGGATCTTCCGTCGCGGTCGAGAACGTCGCGAGCTCGGACGAAACCGCGCAGAGACCTTTTTCGTCGTCGAGAGAGAGATCCGGAGTCTCTCACCCGATGGAGTGCGCGAGCGGGTGGGGAGAACGCGGACTCGCGGTCTCGCGGCGACGCTCGGAAGGCTCTCTCGAACGAAAGCCGTTCGACGGGCCCTATCGTTTCGTGCCTACGAGAAGGCGCGGGTGAGGCGTCGCTCTCGTCGGTCTTCCTCGGACTTCCGTTCCTTTCCGCATCGGGACGGGGCGCGACGAGAAGATCGCGGAATCGATTCCCGCGAGCGAGGCACCGATCGATCCGTCTCGCTTCTCGACCGAGAGCTCTGGGGATCTCGAACGCTCTTCTCTCGATGCCGCCGGGGTTCGGAATCGCTTTCGGATGAATATTAAATCCTTCCGAAGAGACGAAGCCGGTGTTTACCGAAAGCACAGACGTTCGGGACTCCGATCGACCGAGCGTCGGAGGCATCGTATTTTGCTCGTGGACGAAAACGATCGGTCGGACGGATGTCGACGTTCGAGGTGTCGACGACCTCGACTCGACCCGAGGCGATCGTCGCGTGCTAAAACGAGTGGTGCGTTCGAAAATTAGCACGTGCGACGACGGAGAGGCATTGCACGATGCGCGAAAGCGAAGAAGCTTGGGAAAATCCGCGATTACGTGCGTCCTACGACTCGTCCGAGCGGACGAGGGACTCGTGAACCCCAACGTTCCGACTCTCTGCACGAGAAAATCGATGCCCGATCGGTCGAGTCCGAGAGCAAGAACGAGAAGAAAAAAACTCCCAAAGAAGTCGGTAAACTGGAAGTGGAATACCCTTTGACGCAAAAGGGAGCGATGTTCGTGGTCGATGAGGAGTCCGTGCCCCCAAAAGCGAGAAAAAAAGGCTGGAATCGGGAGTCTAGACGTCCTGTTCTTTCCCATCGTCCCCGAGACGCAATTCTCTCTCTCTCCCCATTCCGCATTTCTTCCTTCGCTCGTCTCGGGTCTGCGAGGACGAGAAGCTCGTCCGGTTCGTCTCCGTTTCCGGCTCCCGACTTTCCATCGACAAAATACGGACACGGAAGCATGGAAAAATGACGAAAACGCACTTGGGCGGGCGGCCGTGCCGCGAATGCCCTTAGCCACCCGAAGCCGAAGTGTCGATCGATGCCGCGAGAGCGCGGCCCACCGTCATCGACTCGCGGAAGAGACCGCTTTTGTCTCCCATTAACATCTCATTCGTGTAAAAAATCTTAACGATTATTAAAATATGGACGAAATCGCGTCCGTATTTAGACCGGTTAGCGGTACGGACGTTGCATCCAGGATGCGTACCGTCCGTTCCGATTACGAGCGGACGGCAACTCCATCTCCGTGCCGTCGACTCCGAGTTCGACTCGAAGGTCGGAATGTGCCTTTCCCGATGCGATCCCGATCGAGACCCGCATTCGTGAAGGCGTCCGTCCGTCGAGCGTCAAGCGTTCCCGCGTGCACCGAAAGGAAGTCCAAAAGGAAAGGTCTTCTTCGCTTTCGTCGCCGTCGACCGCTCGAAAGTCTTCATTTTAGTACTCTTCGTTCGCGAAACCCCAGGGAGTCGACGCGTCTCCGATGCCTTTCGAGTCCCGATTCGGCGTCGTCGAACGTCGTCGTGCCGATGCACGTTCCAAAACCACTCGCCTCCCGAAACGGAATGCTTTGAAAACGCGTTCTCGCGATGCGACGACGAGATCGAAACGCGGGAAATCCCGGCTTCGACGCGATCGGGGCTTTCCGATGCGACCGACGACTGCGACGATCCGCGAAGAAAGAAACGGGTCTTCGTCTCCTCGCCTCGCGTCGTCGATCGACTCCTTCGCGTGTCGATCGGATCGTTGCCGGATCCGGCCGGCATCGACGATCGGGCGGAACGGGGTGAACCCGATGGGCACGGGGAAAGGTCGGAACGGGAACGCTAACGATGCCGTGGGATTCCACTCCCGCGAATGCGGAAGCCGTGGAGCTAACGAAGCCTCGATTCCACTCCAGCCTCCCCTTAAAATCCATAATCCAGTGCTCGGGGAGGGCTTCCTCATCGCTCTCGTGCTCGTCATCGTCGCGATCCTAATCCTCCCTGGCAGGATTCCATCCCTCGGCGTGATTGATGGATTCGATCTCTCGCGAGCGGCCGCCGCAATATGATTTTGCGCATCGGTTCCGTCCCCGTTCCTCGGTGTTCCGAAGACTCGACTCCTACGGTCTCTCGCGCGATTCCGGATCGAGGAATCCGTCTCGTGCATCTCGGGTTCCGCGGTCCTCGAGACGAAACTCGCCTTTCTTACGCTCTCTCGATTCGCTCGGCGAATGCGCGGTGGGATCCTCGATCCGAGGAACGAACCGCGGGGCGAAACCGACGAGGACCGAGTCGCCTCGCGTCGACCCGTCCGGAGAGATTTTTTCTCCCGCTTGGATTCGGAACGACGGGAAGTCGTCGGCGATCTCCGTCCGGAGTCGGACGGCCTGGAAAGGCACTGCACGATGATCCCATTACCGGGCGCAGTGGAAAACCCTCTCCGATAATCGATGAGGTCAGATGCACGAGCGCAATTAGGAGCAGCCGAACGATTCCTCTCGTTCGGGTACATCCGAACTCGTCCGTTTCGGTCGAAGGACGCTTCGGAATCCCGAATTCTCCTTTCGGTTTTCTTTTCCCGTAGCAACGCCGGTGCCTCTCGAGCCACACGTGTCCGATACGTTCGCCACTCGCCGCGCGTGGCGAATCGGCCACAGACGTGTGGCGAATCGATGCTCTTCGTCGAACCTACTTTCAAAAGATTGCGCGTTCTTTTGACTAATTTTGCACGTATTTTGTAGCACGTAGCGTATACGGTGACCCGATCGCCACGAGTTCGGCGAGCATCGAAATCCTATCGGACACCGATGCTCTCGAGCAGAAGTGCTAAATGGACCCCGTTCCATGAAAACGTCCATCCTCACTCGCGCTCGCGCTCGAATACGAACCAGATGACCGGTACGGTTCCGTCCTTCTCCGAGGTCGTTCCGTCTGCTTCCTCTCTTCCGTATCGGCTCCGTATTTTCGGACCGCGGAATCGAATATCTGCAAAAGCGAACGAGTACCGAAAGCATTTACGCGTCTCTCATTACTCACCGATGCTTCATCGAAAGGATTTTGCAATCGAAAACGAAAGGCGGCTTCATTAGTGAAAAAGCGACGGATCGGATCGATGGATTCGGAAGAGGTCATTCGGCCATCCACATGCTTTCTTCCTCTCCACGGTATTCCTCGTACGGCAAATACCGAGCGTATGGTGAAAGGTGCCTTTGGATGCAGCTCTGGGCTGCAGACTTCGTGTCATATCAGGGCTTTCGAGTGCAGCAGCGGGGGGGGGAGGGGGGGAAACCAGGGTGCTCTAACGTACCGAGCAACCTATTTAAAAGAGCAGAGGCGGTTCTAAAGCGAAGGTGACGGGACCGATTTGGAAGGAGTACGTCGGGGTGGATTCATCTCCCGAGAGAATGCATCTCGAGGGTTTGGGTGTCGTTGGAGTTCTCTAACTCGTACGTGCTCCTAATGAAAAGTGCAGAAAGTGCACGGAGGTCGTCGACCTGCACGCTTCTCCATCCGAGGAGGATCGGCACGTGGAACGCGATCGAGTCCTCCTTCCCGTGCGAGCCGAACGATGTCTCGTTTAAACGTGCGAAAATTTGGTGGTCGAATGAGAATCGCGTGCAAAAAACGAGGCGGCAAGACAGGCACTCGAGAATTCCTCGAGCACCGTGATCGCATCGATGACATCCTCGTCGCTCGGGCCTCTTCCATGGGTGGACGATTCATTTTTCCATTTCCGGTCTGCATCTTTAAGAAACCCGAGGGAAACCGATCGCTTTCCAGGTGCAGCTCGTACGATTTCGATGGGGAGACGACGACGATTCGAGTTCACCGTGCACTCTAAGCGGTGAGGTCCTGTCGTTTTCCGTCTTTCCGCCATTCCACGAAATTCCCGCTGCTCCGACCGGCCGGTCGACTGGCTTTCGGCCGCGCGTCATCGTCTCCCATGAAATCGATGGGGAACGCTCGAGAGGAGCCCATTTCATCGTTCGTTTCATGACACATTTCACGGGAGGCGAGCGCGAGAGAAGGAGCATCTCGAAACTCAATTTAGCCGTCTCGAGTATTTGACAGTCGTGCATGAGCCGGCCTGGAAACCGGTTTGCATTCCTCGACTACCGAGGGAGCCACGGCTTAGAGGGATGTATTAAAGAAGAGGAATGCCATCGTTCGAGTCGTGCTCGTTCGATAGATGTACGTATTTTGACGCGGAACCGATGGGACACCGGTTTTTAATTAAAAAATAAAGCAGATTGGGACCTGAAATATAAAAATGGAATAAAAACCCGAGCGGTGGGGGTATCCCCGACGGGGAAAGAGAAAATCTTGGGGAATTCCTCCCCCCATTCGAGGCAGCGCTACGCACGGCTCCCCTTTTCTAATCCGATTCGTGTCCCAGTAAGAAGGGGAACGAGACGGTGAAGGGAATGTGTGAGACGGGAGCCAATAATGGCTAGACTGCTTTTGGGGCGAGGGATCTCACATGGCGAAAACTTCCTGCACTAGCCTCCACCACTCGGGTTTCACTCGGAAAGGTACAGTATACTCGTGTCGGAGGTATGAATCCACTTCGGGTAAGAAACCCTCCAAAAGAATTGCGAGAGAGAAATGAGGCAGTACCGTAGCGGTTCCGAAGTTTGAGGCGATGGAGGCTTTTGGGTGCCCCATCGCATCCGTCGGGATGATGAAACTTCGGTGATGGTTAATTTTCATTCCATGTGGAAGAAACACCCGAATGAGGTTTTTTTGTCTGAATTTTGGAGCGACTTTCGAACACGGAGTGGAAGAGTAGAGGATGGTACAAGACAACCACCGATGAGAAAAACCTGAAGTCCTTATCATAGCTTCTCACGATACACCTCTCACATGGTTCTTTTTTATTATCTCTCTTTTACCGTTCATTTGGAAATTTAGCCTTCTTACGTTTTGTATTCGTTCACAGGCGCATGCTACTCTTTCCTTCGTTTTCCATTACGCATTCGTCCCCTGTTTTCATTTCAGATCCTTACGTGAAAATCTACTTACTGTGGAACGGACAGCGACTGGCAAAGAAGAAAACGCACGTGAAGAAGAGGACTCTGAATCCCGTGTTCAACGAATCCTTCGTGTTCGATCTGCCGAACGGCGCGGATTCCCTCGACGACATCAGTCTGGAATTCCTCCTCTTGGACTGGGATCGAGTCACCAAAAACGAGGTGAGCCATCGCGCTATCTGCGACATCTATCGACCCTTTCCTTTTGGGTCCTTTTCTAACTTTTTTTCGTGCGAGTCTATACAAACAATTGGAATGGGATTTCTTGGGGCGGAAAATGAGTCTTTTCTCCGTCATCTCTCGTCTTTCCTTGTCCTCTCCGGGAGATGGAGAAGGAGGAAAAATGAGAGCTTCGATCCCATTCAGTCGTCACCGAAATGCTTTTCTCGCGCCTGGATGAAGCGAGAGATTGACACCGCGGTAGACGTAGGAAATTTTTCCTCGACGAAACGGTCGGACGGGGCGGGACGGAATCGATTCCGTAGGAGGCCTTCCGAAGGCCTCGAAGGTTCGCATCTCGGAGATCCTCACGTTTCGTCCTCGCTCTTCTCGTCAGGTGATCGGTCGAGTGGAGCTGGGAGGGCCGAACTGCTCGGGATTCGCCCGTCATCACTGGACCGAGGTCGGGAAATCCCCTCGTCGACAGATCGCCCAGTGGCACAAGTTGAGAGAGTGAACATCCCTTTCTCGTCCACCTTCACCTTCACCTTCGCTTGGACCTTCGACTTCATCTCATCCCGTACCGTGGAATCTTGGATCGTTTCTCTTCCGCTACGTACCCAGTTCCCGTGCGCTCAACGCTCCCCGGCTGTAAAAAGAAAAAAAAATCAAAACCCATCGGTGTTAAACGAGGTCGCGACCTCGAACCCGTTCATATCCAACTCGGCCCATTCCATTTGTATATATTCCAAACTCGTATCGTGTTCCATCGGCATGCAGGATGACGCTGCCGGCCGGGATCTCGGCGAACGAGACCATCATCGTATACCACCTTTCATAATATAGACGCCTTTTTGTTTTCCTTACTCGGTCCGAGGTTTGCAAAAGGTCGAACGGCTATTTTTTTGTGCATGGTTTTTTGGCACGAATCGAAGTCTATGCGATGTTGAAAACGGATCCGATCTTCGTAGTCCGATATTTCCGCAATGTCTAATAAACGGAATAAAGCCATATTCTCGTGCTATCCCCTCGTTTCCATTCGGGAACGTTCCAAGCTGGACGGCGATCGGTTTTCGGAATGCGATGGGCCTCCATGTATGATTCAAAAGGGAATCCTCCTCAGAATTCATGGAATCCCGTAATCCCACGAAGAGGCTGTGCACTCCTCTCGATAACTCCCTTTGCGAGGATTTCCCTGGCAAATCCTGCGTAGGAGTTCGAAGAAAGTCTGGTAAGTTGCGCCCGAGCACGGACGGTCTCTCGCGGCCGCCTACGTCTTCCCCTTCCTCTTCGAAGGGGGAAAGCACGGTTCCGGATCTCGATGAAGTGTATCGAGGGAATGGCATCGAAGACGAAGATGGGAGCCGTTCCCATAACGGTGGAGAGGAGATGGGGAATGGAGGAAGAGGGAAGAGCGAAGGGGAAAGAGGGGGTTCTGGAAGAGTGAATCCCAGGCCGGAGATAGGCCATATCCTCCATCCCCCCGCGATGCACGGAGAAAGAGGGGGACGAGGGAACATCGATGCGATCGGCCTTCCCTTTTTACCAACTTTTCTCACAAAGGGGTAAGGCCACATTTGTTTTGCTCGGGGACGAGCTCGAATCGTATCGGAGACATTCATGGATTCCTCTCGGCGAAACGATGCATTACATCACCCGTGTGATCGATGCCGTGTCGTTCCCAAAGTCTGCCTAAAATTTGTTCTTTTTCCGAACTTCCTTGCGATGATCCAGAAAATGTACACATCCTCGACGGGATCTTTTATTTTCAAATCGGTGCAATGCTAACGCTGTCGCAACGGCATGGAATGCCGAGAAATGTTTTTATTTTTTAGTTTCACGAAACCTTGATTTCGTCCGATAGTTTAGTCCGGTTTCTTCCATAAAAATTTCCATCTCTAGCCACCAAAATTTAGTCGACTTGCGAGCTCGTCGAAGGATATAGAAGGCTTCTTCGAGAAGTTAATCACCTTCCACTTCGTGCATATTCCGAAGATATGCACGAAAGTCGATCGAGGCAGCATTTCTTTGTTTTAGCATCAAACTCTTCGTCGATATAATCGCTGAGGCACCGGTATCAACGAGACGAGACGAAGCCAAGGGATGGGAAATCTGGCCGATATCCATCCGGCGTTAATGAGACGTCCTGTTGTCGATACTTCCCAGTCGAATTCCGAGAAATCTTCCCGCCGATCCCAAAGAGGGGCGACCGAAAAGCGATACTCGTATAAACGTGCAACGGGAATTTCTATCACTTCTATCGCTAGGTTGATATCGACCGCACACCCACAAGAGACGGCTCTTAGTGAGAGGTAACATTCTCATCCGCGGTCGGTTCTTTTCTTTTCACCTTTTTCGCCTTCCCTCCATTCTCATCGAGGAACTCCGCGAGCGGAGCGGCAGCGCGAAGAAACACGGCAATGCAATTAAGGGCAAGTCGTGAGACCGTAACGAGATCGTTGCCACCTGTCTCGGACGCATTATTTCCCCATCGAGTCGGATGTCGTGCATTCATTCGGCGTCGGCACGAGAAGTTCCGCGTGGTTCGCGGCGCTGGCGTGACGTGCCGGGACTCATACCTCCTCTCCTTTCTCCCGCATCGTTTTATACATATTTATACCAGTAACTACGACATATGCATATTTTAAACGTAGGCGCTCGCGAACGGGACTCCGAGCCTTAAACGGTTCGACGGACGGGAAAGAAAAGAGAAGAACGAGAACTCTAGCGACGAGATCCTTCGAGCAATTATGCAAATGGTTCCTCATCGTGCAGATTGAAAAGTTGGCGCCATTACTGTCTTCGCATTGCGGCGAAAAGATAATTAAGAGATTAGGATTTGAAGTCTCGCTGACGGAATCTCGAGCCGAGATCTTTAATGCGAATCACACGACGTAAACACGATGTAAACTTTGACAGGTTTGGGTAGGGAGAAAAGAAAGCAGCACCACTGCAGTCGACGTCCACGATGGGAACCACCGGTCGTCAGACTTCACAAAATCCTCAGTCAGACCTCACGAAGTCCTCAGAGCCAGCATCGTTCCGTCCTTCTTTTCTACGATCCTCGAAGCCCTCCTACGATCACTTAGATGGAAGAGGGGAGGGCTCGCTCTCGTATTCCCAAGTATCGTTACGTTAAAGCGGGAGTCGATTTTTTACGACTCGAGATCCATCTGCGAGTCGTGACGAATGAGAGCCATCGCCGAAAATCGAGCATCATCGGATCTACCGTCGAGCAGGAAGAGCAGAAAAAAAGGATGACGTCAAGTGGCCGATCCCAGAAAAGGAAAAAAATGTCTCGGAATTCCCTTTGCTCTTCCTTTTCGGCTTTTTTTCCTTCGCTCGACCCTACCATCTTTCGTCTTCCGTATGCGAGGGTAAGGGCATGGTCTCGTGGGTTTCGCGCAATGGCAAACCGCGCGAGGCCTACATGGCTTTGCCTCTTTGGGCCATAGGCTAGGCCAAGGGTGTCCAATCTGCGGCTCGCTAATTCATTTTCTCCGGCTATTTTAACAGATTTCGGAAATTTGCAGCATATTTCACTTGTTCGCATCAAACATGTGGTGTATGTGGTGTGAGATTTGTTAGTGAGGCCCCCAAAACACATCTGAACCAAATCAATTGTTCCCCGCCAAATTGCACCCCTGGGCAAGGCCATAGAATCCTATGATTCCTGACATATGATACACCCTGTATACAGAGGAAATCGGCCTGGGGGCTGGTCGTTCCTGGGGAGAGAGGCACAGATGCAAGGTGAATCACATTATGTGGATTAACAACTGTATATATAAATACTCCACTTTTGAGATCTCGAGCATGGTTTTTAGGTGTTCATTTAGGCCGTTTTTGAATTTGTTACGAACAGGAATGTTGCAAATGTTAACAGAGAGTGAGTTCCAGAATTTCGATGCTCTATAGTGGAAAGACCGATGGAAGGAAATTATTGTTCCAGAGGGAATGCTTAGTTTTATGTCATTAGCAAAGCGTGTGTCGTGCTGGTGAGTGAGAGCTGTGAAAACTTGAAGATAGGGTGGGTGAGTTCAGAATTTTGTGACATGGGGATGCAGTTTCAAAGTATGCAAGATGATCAAAGCCAAGCCAATTAGAATTTTTTTTTTAGAAGTATTGCGGACGGGTGACGTGCTGGACATTAGTGGATTATTCTTAGGCATTTTTAAATTTGGGGATTCATTCTATCTAAGATATTGGATCAGGAGCAGGAAGCATATACTGGGAAACGATATGTGATGTGGGGGAGAATGAGGGCATTTGCAAGTAGTTGGATTTCTTTAGGTGAGATTAGAGGAGATAAAGAACGAATGAGGCACAGATTTTGATTATTTTTTTTTGTGGCGGAGAGACAATGTTCTTTATAAGAAAGGTGAGCATCTAGGGTTAAGCCAAGGAGTTTGACTTTTTGAAGTGGTTCGATGGGCTCAGAGTTTAAATTAAGGCCATGTAAGTCATTTCTAGAGAATGATGCAAGCTTTTTGGGGTAGGCTAGGGGTATGGAGTGGGTCTTACATTTATTAGCTTTTCATTTTTTGTTTACCCAGTTTTGGAGATTGGGAAGTTCAATTTGGAGGATCTCTTGAACAACCTGGGGATTTGGATGGGAAAAGTAAATTGTGGTGTCATCTGCATATATGTCAACATTAGCTTTTTTATACTCAGGGGGAAGGTCATCTTTGTAAAGGATGAAGAGTGATGAGCCGAGAATCGAACTTTGGATAGAGAGCTGCGCGGTCATTTAGACGTCTTTCCGGGAATTCTCTTCGATTCCAAGGGCATCTTTCGCGAATCTTTCATCTTTCGGGCATCTTTCGAATATCTATCCCCTCGTCGTCAGATTCGTTTGACCTAAACAGTCGATAATGGGTGGAAGTCCATTCGATTGCTTCGATATTCCGCCGGCATCATCTTCGGTCGATAAATCGGTGATGATTCTTGGTAATATCTCGAGATGATGACTTCCTCAGGTGGAGAGCTACATAGAATCCTATCCTATCTGGGGGACTGCTTCAGGCATTGATCATCGTGATATTAAAGCAACACGAGGGAGCGAGTTGATACGATGTGAATATCATGCAGCAGCGTAGGAACCGTTGTTATTCTAGATTTAAATTAGTCGTCTTTAGTATCTTCATCGCATTGCACACTGCTTACGCTTTATTATCCGAGAGGTGGACAAAAATTCCATCAACACTTTCCCATCGTAGATTTTCATCTGATTGCAAAGAGTGCAAGAGTAAGTGCAAAGAGATTTTTTATCCATACCCCAGCGTCGCCAGCGTCTATCCCATCCTGCCTGCCTCTACTACTAGTACACTTCGGACACCCAGCTTTTGAATATCACTCCCCTCCCACACTATCCACCTCTTATCACCACCCTTCCCACATCTTAGCGACACCCTCCAGCACCTTCTCAGCACCCTTCAACACCCAATCGGCACGTGCTGAATGGTGTGGGGTTTTCATAAGGGCACCGCTTTCTCAAACATAGAACCGATTTTCTATTCCGATTGGTAGATTTTGGTTTACTTTTCAATTATATTTTAATTTCAATTATATTCGGTGTCTCGACTCTCCTGAAGATATTAACTTTTTTGCTTCTTTTGGGTGTATTTTTCATGTTTACCGGGAACATTCTTTAAATTGGCTAAGTGGTAGTTTAGAAGTAGTATAAGAATGAAATTGAAGGACGTAAAACTTTTTCTTACTTTCATTCGATAATATCGGTACTTCCAAAACTTCTGGTTATTGTATGGCGAAGAGAATGGAGGAACTAAAAGTAGCGAAAACTGGCTATGTTTCAGTACCGGGTAATACAGTAGCAATCGCCACTTTACTTGTGAATATTCCAGGTCTGAACTTCGAGTAAATTACAAAAGAATCTCTCAAATTGTTTTGATGGTTTTTTTTTGGGCTCCGCCTTCTTCAAAATAAACATGAAAAATATTTTTCTACGTTCTGAAATTCCCATTAAATTTATTCATATAGGTGTGGGTGGC